ACCCTGTTTCCACTAAAAATATGGAAATTAGCTGGGCATGGTGGTGTGTGCCTATAGTTCCAGCTACTCAGGAGACTGGGGCAGGAGAATCACTTGAATCTGAGAGATGGAGGTTGCAGTGAGCTGAGATTGTGCCACTGCACTCCAGCCTGGGTGATGGAGCAAGACTCTGTCACATCTTCTCAAATATTTTCTCTTTGAGTTATCCTTCATGTCTTCACCAAATTCTAGTTATTCCTCAAGACTTAGCTTAGCTTACATTCTTTAGGAAGCCCTCTGTAGCTTCCATAACATTCTGTGCAAACCTCTGTGAACTCATCACCATGTTATAATTACTTGCTCACTCATCCATCTCCCCAGCTAGCCTATGAACATAATAAGAATCAGGACTGTCTTTCTTCTTTGCACCACTCCAGGTAGCTGGCACCTGATAATTTAAGATTATTTGCTGAAGAGATTCATAGGTTTTCAGAGCTTCATAAAAGAAGTTTTCTTAATTTCCTTTTAAAAAACAGTGGTAAAATGTCAGTACCACTAGGGGGCACAGACTAGTAACAGAATTTTCCAGTACACTAGCTCAAAGGAGATGTTTTCCTTCTGTGGCAATCTCTTCACATAGTTTCTAAATTATTAACAAATAACTATTCAAATGATTCCCAGAGAGATATGTTTAAATAGTTGGCTAAAAGATAGAGAGCAGTACTGACATATTAACATGAAAAAATGAAATCAGGTATAGTCAAATACAATTAACAGGGTTTTATAAATAAAGCTGAGGACAGTGTTAAGAAAAAGATCAAAATGTAAATACAATTTTAAGAAATTGATACTATGAGACTTGGGGCTATTTTTAAAATTTCAATACAGAAGAGTATCTATGCAGGGAAACTCCTCCTTTCACAGGAAAAGTGAAGAGAAATATTGAAGCTATTTCTGTGTTTGGAATAAAACCTCAAATCCTCCTCCAAGATAATCAATAGAAGCTTTCCAATACTTTTCTTTTGTAACAAAAAACCATCAAGATTATTAATACACAATAATCGGCTAAGTTTTTATTCAAAAGCTGATATTGATTAGTAGTTAAAAATCTAGTTTTGATTGTGTTTTTGTCCTGCCTCAGCTACTTTTTAGTTTTAAAAAAATATTAACTTGTCTACACCTCAGTTTCTGCCCGTATAATTGGATATGATTTGTAGTGCCTACTTATGAAACTATTGTCACAATCAGGTGAAATATTTTTTTTTCCCCAGGCTGGAGTGCAGTGGCACCATATTGGCTCACTACAACCTCCACCTCCCAGGTTCAAGCAATTCTCATGCTTCAGCCTCCCGAGTAGCTGGGATTACAGGCGTCTGCCACCATGCCCAGTTAATTTTCATATTTTTTAGTAGAGACAGAGTTTCACCATGATGGCCACGCTGGTCTTGAACTCCTTATCTCAAGTGATCTGCCCAGCTCGGCCTCCCAAAGTGCTGGGATTACAGGCATGAGCCACCATGCCCGGCCTGAAATAATTCTTGTAAACCACAGTGCCTAACACATAGAAAACACATGATAAGTATTTGCTATTATTTTGCTTCAACGATTGTGATCAGCACAATATTTTAGTAATTCTTAGAAACATTAATTTTGTTAGCTTCTGGAATAAAAATGGTGAGGACTCGTTGAGCCCTTTCTGCACTATTTCTCACCAGCCTCTCCTTAAGGCCACACTCATTCACACCTGCTTCCTTTCTGCATCCCTGGGGCAGAGGCTGTTCTGAGGAACAATGTCCCATTTGCTATGTGAGGTAGGCCTGGGATTCCTACTGTGTTAGAACTCTTATGCAGTCTGGCTAGGCTCATATAATCTCTGATGTTGTCTTGGGTTCTCTGATTAGTTTCCGCTTGTTGAAGAAACATCTCGAAAAGCTTGTATTGTATCTCTTAGAGATAAGAATTGTTGTTGAATGACCAAAACAAATGGTATATTTTTATGTTACATTAAAAATAACAGGAGATACATATATTTAGTGAACAAATGGTTATGATATCTATGAAATGCATTGTAGTCGCTATGCTTATTGGTTTGGTTATGGCCTGATTGGAAGGAAATAAAAGCCAAGGAGAAGGGTGGTGTAGCTTAAAGGGACTTCTATTCAGGAGTCTGGAGACTTCCTCTAAGCCTGCAAGGCAAATTGCTGAGCCCTGCGTAAGTCATTAAACAGCAGCCAACCATGAATTTTCATTTCTCCAATAGTGCCTTTTCTTTTTATTATTTTCTACTTTCTTAGTTTTATGTTTGCCCCTTCATTATGTGCCCAAGCAGACCCATGTCACATGCATTTCCCTTTTATTATAGGGTTTAAGAATTCTATTTATCATTCCTACTCTTTTTAGCCCAGGAATTTCATATTGGATCAAAATGCATTCCTATCACTAAAAAGTGGCACTTCTATCACTCGCTAGTTGATTAGAACCATGAACATGACTTAGTGGGAACATGTCTTGCAGTAGGAGATTGGGGCAAATGAGAAAATGGGTAGGCATGGAGAAGAAGGAAAGTGGGAGAGAAATGGGTCATTGACACTTTGTGAAACTGGTCCAGATCTAGTTATTCTGCCCTTCTTGTGGGCATTTAAAGTCTTTTCTTGTGCGTCTCTAGCTCATGCATAGAATTTTAAATATTATTATTTCAGAGTACCTTTCAGAAAAAAATACAATGGGATAGAAAACAAACTGAGGACAGGTGCAGTGGCTCACACCTATAATCCCAACACTTGGAAGGCTGACGTGGAAGGATTGCTTGAGTCCAGGAGTTTGAGACCAGTCTGGGCAACACAGCAAGACCCCATCTCCAAAAAAGAAAAAGAAACACACTGAAGTAAAATATCTCTAGAAACTATGTTCAATTGAAACCATATCCATGTAGGCTTCAGAAAATGTTTCCAAGGTCATAAATTTCAGGCATGCATCTTACACATATAGAGAATGAATGAGTAAAAGCAAACACATCTCAAAAGATGGGGAGGGCAAATCAACTCACATACTGTAGCAGTTAACATTTGCTTTTACCTCTACCTCTTCACAATGCTCTAATGTAATTATAATGCACAGAATATACACCATGTTGTTTTACTCACTGCTAAGTAAGCCTATCCTCTTTCTAATATTTGAATTTTAATATTTCAGCAAAACGAACTAATAAAAGCCAGTTTCCTAGCAACATCTCTATTCAAAGGAACAACAAAAAAGCTTAATCACAATCACTTTATTTTCTCCAAAGTTAATTCTGGTTTTTTGAGGGAAGTTAGCAGGTAGCAAATAAGGCAAGGTGCAAACAGAGACTCTTGTAGGAGAGGCTGGCACAGCCTCACTTGGCTTTTTCTTTCTGGGCATTGAAGGGTAGGGTGATTAGAGCTTCAGCTACGCCAGTCTTTCCCAATGGTTGCGGACAGAGAGCTTGATACAAAAACCCAGAACCAAGTGCTGTTTTATCCATCCTCTGCTGGAGATGCAGATTGCTTGGTGGAAGGAACAATGAACTAGAAAGCCAGGCTGTTGGGTTCCTAGTAACTCTCACACTACCCGCGAAAACTTGAGCGGGTCACCTTTTTCTGGGCTGTGTGTACAAATGGCAGTTACTCTAGAAGACATAACTCAAAGGTCTCTCCCAGCAGTTCAGAACTGCTACCAATGACCGGGTCTTTTTATTTTTATTTATTTAATAAAGCTTAAGTGGCATTTGCTTAATTAGTAACACAGTTTCACTTGCTGCATCCCGAGAAAAGCATTACTTGGAAATTAAGCAGCTGACTCTGTTCCAGGGAAACGGGTCCCTGTGTCCTGCCTTCCTGAGACTTCCTGCCTGCACGCGGGACCCAGCCTCGCCAGTAAGATGGAAGTGACCTTACCTACCCAGCGATAGCTGAAGTCTGCAACAAGGAAAACAGAAGTTAAGAGGAAGTGGTTTTCATTTTATTGCCTGCAGAAAGGTCAAGATTTTGACGTTTAAAGAGGGCACACGAGTCATTTTAAGTCTCCAGATCTTTCACCCTGAAAGTCCCTGCACAGAAACTCCATAGGGAGTCTAAATATAGAAACAGCAACCCCCCTCCGCCCCCTCCGCCCCCTCCGCCCTCAGTCCGGGTCCCGCGCAGCTCTAGGATTGGAGAGCTTACTCCAGGGCGCTCTCTGCATCTGCCTCGAATAGCAGGGCACGGAGCAACGTCTCTCGCACCTCCACAGTGCGTGGGTGTGAAGTGTATTAGGGGAAAGCTAGAGTGACTCTGGGTGCTGGTGCTCGGCTCACAGTCACGTGGCGTCGCTGCCAGCTGCACAGAGCTCCCAGCTAGCTAATACTGCCCAGAGGCTTGGGGGAAAGGAGGGAGGGAAGCAGGCTCCTGCCGATGACCAGGAGCCGGTGAGAGGGCTTCACACAAATAATAGTGATAATAACAAGTAAAAGCAAAGCATTTAATTTGAGCTATTGCAGGAGATAGAAATCAGCTGCTGCGAACGTGGGTGTGTGGATAGGGTGGGGGTAATTGGGAAAGTATTTATCTCCGAGGGGAGGAGACAGCTGCAAGAAGACTTTTGCCTTAACATTAGGAAAGGGAAAGGCCCAAGGAATCCACCTTGCAACTAACTATCTGCTATGTCTTTGTGGTGAAAGCTTAGTTTTCCCTTCAATTTAATTTGGTGACTGTTTTCTTTCAAATTTGGGGAAAGCCACTCTGTTGGAAGAAGTCCCCGAGCCTTTCAGTTTTCCCCATGCTGAATGTGAGGTTTAAACTGGTTTTTCTTTGTAATACACTGTTTCTGAAGGCCAGAGGCAGAGGCCAGTGTGGTACCATGGCCTCTCTCTCCGCCCAGGGCTCATGGGCTTTAGGCCACCCAGGTGCCAGAGGTGGTGGAAGACCCAGTCTTTTGTTCCTTGCAATAGGTCTCTAAGCTTGTAAGTTACATCAGGTGTGTGTATGGGGGAACCCCGAGAAGCCGGCGTCCTGGACTCCCCACCCTCCAGGTTTTCTTTCCCAGACACTGGGGTCCTCGCCGCCGCTGCTGCTGAACTTCGCAATCATATGACTTTCTCCGACTTAAATGGAAATTTCTTGACAGAGGGAACTGGGTTTGTTTTCCCAGGCTTCGCGCCTCAGTCAGGCGGAGTCCCGGGCAGCTCGCTCACCGCGGAGGAGCCACTTTGGAGTTTTACGCCCTTTCCACACCCCACCCATGGGCTGGAAAGGATGTTCAGTTACTCGCGGGCTTGTCTGATACTGGGATGGAAAGTCACAGTACGCAGGCTGGAGTGAGGCGCGGGAAGATGCCTGGTCCTTGCCTCGCGGACTCTGAGGCCGCCTCCTTCGGGTCTGTTCACTGAACTGCTGAGGACTCGCGGGTGCGCGGGGACCCGAGTGCCACTGCCTGGAGCGTTACCTTGCGCTCCAGCCCCCAGTCTAGCTAATACCTGGAGAGCAGGGCTGTTCCCGCTCCCACCCCTTGCGGAAGGATGGCAGGATCCGGCGCAGCAACGTAGCGGCGGGAGAGCACAGCGACCTGCGTCTCCAGTTTCTCTTCAGGACACAAGATTGACTTCACCTTCCGGACAGCTGCAAAGCTCCTGCCAGAACCAAACCAAATTCGCACCTCGGAGAGGGGCTTCTGGAGCCGATTCACTGCAGGGCGTGGGGAGGAGGAGAGAAGGAAGAAAGGGGGAACCTGAGGCTGGGTGTGCGCGCGAGGGAGCGCGCCTCGGAGCGCCCCGCAGTCCCCCACTGCATCCCCGGGGGCACTTCAGGAATGAGGGAGCAAGAGAAACCCTCTCAAAGTGACGCCTCAAACAGGTCCGGATTTAGAATTCGAAGCTAAAGGCGGTTAGAAATTGGGACTCCTCGGCCTCCTTTGCAGCCCCTCCTCTCCCGCCCCGAAGCCCGGGCGGTTCGCTGGCTGCCTGCTTCCCCGCCCCCGGCTCGGAGGTCTCTAGCTGGCGGGCGCCCCGTCGGCTGCCAGCTTCCTCCTTGAAACCCGCCGGCGCACATGAGGCCGCTGCCCCCGCCGCAGGCGCTGGCGGCCCCCTCGCGGTGCCCGTGGTGATGCCATGCCCCGCCACCACGCGGGAGGAGAGGAGGGCGGCGCCGCCGGGCTCTGGGTGAAGAGCGGCGCAGCGGCGGCGGCGGCGGGCGGGGGGCGCTTGGGCAGCGGCATGAAGGATGTGGAGTCCGGCCGGGGCAGGGTGCTGCTGAACTCGGCAGCCGCCAGGGGCGACGGCCTGCTACTGCTGGGCACCCGTGCGGCCACGCTCGGTGGCGGCGGCGGTGGCCTGAGGGAGAGCCGCCGGGGCAAGCAGGGGGCCCGGATGAGCCTGCTGGGGAAGCCGCTCTCCTACACCAGTAGCCAGAGCTGCCGGCGCAACGTCAAGTACCGGCGGGTGCAGAACTACCTGTACAACGTGCTGGAGAGACCCCGCGGCTGGGCGTTCATCTACCACGCGTTCGTGTGAGTACCCGCGCCCCCTGCCACGCCCGCTCCAGGGGACCCCTCTTCCTGGCCCCCTGGGGCGTGCTCCGCGCTCGCGCCCTTGGTCCCCGCGAGCGTGCACACGTGGTGGCTTTTATTTCTTCGCACGTGTTTGTGGTCTTCCTTCGGGAGCCTCTCCCCTCCCCCAACCCCACTTCTCCCATCTCTACAGCTTGAACCTTTTCCCCGAGGACACCCAATGAACTCCCCGGTAGCTTCAGCTCCCCGGGCAAGAGCAAGGCAGACACGGGACTTAGGTTGAGCGGATAATTGGGAGCAATTAGGTCCCAAGATACGTAAACTTCAACCGAGCGGGGCGCCCGGGAGCTGGGGAATGCAAAGGGAGGACAGGCGCCCGGGTGAGGCTTGAAAGTGTATTGGAGAGGTTAGGAGGTGATGGCAGGGTAGGACCGGGAAGAGGGAGGAGGCACCGAGGGCTAGGTCCTCAGTCCTAGGGGCGGAGTAGGGGAAGTTGCTACTTGGTGGAGAGAGCTGCTAGGTTTTAAGTGCGCCCGGAAACACGCCTCGCCACCACCCAGCCACCACCAACGGAAAATCTGTCAGTGCATGTAGCCCTTCCTGCCACGGAGAAGGTGGCCGAGGTCTAGAAGGGGCCAGCTGGCCAGGCGAATCGACGCTCCCGCGCTGCAGGGCGCGGGGAGGCAGCGGGGAACCTGGGGCGCAGGAACGCAGGCGGAGGTGCGACAGCAGAAGCGCAAATGGGTCGCCTCGGACAGAAATCAGGCAGTGGGTTAAGTCCCTATTTGTGGCGCGGAGTCAGAGAGAGAGAGAGAAAGAGAGAGAGAGAGAGAGAGTGTGTGTGTAGTAAGCCTTCTCCATCTAGCAGAGAATGCTTAATGAGAAAATGATTGGAAGCAAATGTTTATTTTTCCCTTAGGCATTTAAAACCTTTCAGTGGCTTTAAAGTTTACTACCGTTTTTCCCACAAAGTCCATTCATTCAGTCTCCTATTAGAGTTACGTTTATCTGGGCATTTTAAGGTTGTTTTTATAACGTTACCTCATGTCTAATTTTTTTTCTTTCTCTTCTCCTTTTTCTTCCTCTCTTTTTAGTATTATTTCTGCTTTTTTAAGATGAAATATAAAGACATCAACCTTAGAAGACCAGTAGAGAAAGTTGCAAATACTCACTGATACATTCCTTGTTTCCTAGTAAAATAAGTTTTGAGCACACGGACTAGGTTTATTTTAGAAATAAGGTGTGTCATCCATACATAGCTCTCTCCTGGGTTGGAGAATTGGCGTCAACACCAGAAACGTGTTTTGAAATAACATGGAAGAAGGGCTGGTTTTGTAAATAGGTGAACCTGGAATTCAACCACATAGGAGTCAGGAAATTGGTGGAGCCTACAATCTGTGGGGCTCTGGTGTCTGGAAAATTTTACAGTCCCAGATTGATGTGAACATGTAGCATTAGACAGAATATTCCAGCCAACTTTCTGTTTTACAGTGCACACAAGGAGAACAGTTGTGTTGCATCATTATTACATCAAACGGTATAACTTTTATGTAAGATTCACATTTATTTAAATATGGTTAGGGCAATGATAGAGAAATGCTACTGATAATTTTCATGTTCATCTCTTCTGAATTGGTATATAATTAAACATATTAATAGTCCTGGTAAATTATTTTGACCTGTCAGAATATACTAAAACAACTTAGCAATGATGATGCTCAATTTGGCAGCAAATATATACTGTATGGATTTTTTTTTTTTTTACAAGTGTGCTCAAAATATTTATGGCATTGAATTTTAAGTATGATACCATTTGTAGCCTTTCATTTTTGGTATATTATACGTTGTATATTCAGAGATAGTTAAAACCTTGGTTGGGGCACATACTTTGCATCTCCTAACTTGTGCTTGAACGTGAATGAGAACTTGCAACATTTTCTTTTCCATGTGTTGGTGTTAACAGGTTTTTATGGGCTTACAGAATTTTAAAACATTGATAAATGATTTTTCCAAAGGTTCAGGTTAGATACTTCTCTATCCACCAAGATTTATCAGTCTAGAAGTGTCTTCAGTGGTAGATAGGAAATAAATTATGTATTTAGTAGATGTAGCTAATGTGAGGTTTTGTATTGTACATTTTACAGTCAGAAACTGTAATGCCTCAGCAATTAGATAGGGGTGCTAGATCCACATTAGCTCAAAGAGGGAATGGATAGTATCATCTTCTGGGAGGATTGTGCACAACTAAGCAGACCCTGGGGGAAAAGGCCATCTTTGGCAGTTACTGCTTGTGATTTTTAAGTGAGCTCTAGAATAGCCAGACTTTACACATTACATTCATAAATCGAAGTTGTTTTACACTGTAAGTCTAACTAGACCGCAAGAAAATAATTTTGAGAGAGGTGTAACTAACTAATTCCCTGCCAGCCTGGGAATCCCCAAATCTTACTTTAATAACAGTCTTTGTAGCATATTAAGGTTCTTGCCAAAAACAAGTGCACTGTGATTAATGAGGTACTTCAGGGATGAATTTACTTGGTCAACCAGTGTTTCACTGCCAAGAAACAAGAAAAGCACGTTTAAAGTTATGCTTGAGGTAAATATAAATTTCTATTATGCAAAAATAATTATAATGATATTTTAGGGGTATAAAATGTCTTTTCAAGAGTACATATCTTAGCCTATTGATAGAGAGGCTGGACAGTGCAAGAGACGACCTACTTCAAATACCCTTAAACTTTATAAATTAGTGGAGATTAGGAGATCCTTGCCCTTACTGTTCTTTAGGATTTACCAGACAGCCATATTTCCCATCTTCGTTTTTCTTCATTTTACTAGTGTGCTATTCAAATATGAGGTGACTCATTTCCTTGAATGTTGTTTGTCCCTTTTTAATTCCTCCTTGTTTAAGGAAAATTTTGGAAGAATAATGAGGGTAGTAGAGGAACACAGGATAGGGCTTCGTATATAAATTTGCATTAATACAGCAAATGTGGTTCTGAGAAATAACATGGCAAATGATATTGCAGATACATGTAATTGATCTCTTTGCCTAATGTATCTTTGTCTGAATTAATGCTATGGATGTGAATTTGTAGATATTTTAAACAAGGAGACAAGAAGTCACCCAAGCTAGGAGCTCTGAAGTCATCATTTTTCTCATAGTTACTGCCACTTGCCAGGCAAATGGTCATTAAATACTGTTTGTTTACTTTATAGGTAGTGTTCAAATACATTCCCTTTTTTTCTTTACTACTACTATTCCATTCTGCTTCTTGCCTCTCCATTGGATGATTTGTAATTTTCTCCTGTCTGATTGTCTGGGCTTCTGTTCTCAGCCTTTTAACTCTCTGCTCTAACATCATAGTGTTGTTTGTAAAATGCAAATATCATCATATCATCCTTTTGCCTAAAATATTTCCATGACTCTCATCATCTCCTTCATCTATTTATCCATCTACAAGTATTGGAGTGTGTATTATGTGCTAATTCCCAAATTAACAAGGCAAAGGCCTCCACTCTGGAGGAAGGAAAAGACTCCATCAAGGGATGACTATAAGCCTGTGAATAAGTATGAAGCAATGCTATTGGTGTGTTTAGAGGGTTAGGTTACAAGGTGACATAGAAAGAAAAAAAAAGTGAATCCTGGGCAGAAACATCAGCACACGGTTCAAAGGGGAAGTGAGGTGTGAGCAGAGTTTCCACAAATGAGTAATTTTCAGGTAGGCGCAGCAGGAGGGAGTAAACAATCTTGACAGAGAAAATAGTTTGAGGAAAGATATGGGGTTGTGGATCAACACAGTAATTCTATGTACTGTTAAGTATTTTCAGGGTGAAGAAAGCCACAAGAAGGTTAGAGCAAAAGGCAAGTAACCAATCTTTTGGATAGCTTCAGATGCTGACCATAGAATCTGGTATTTATCCCATAGGCAGTAGTGGTCATGGAATGGTGATAATCAGGGAAATGACATAATCAGATATAAATTTTGGAAGGATCTTCTTTTCATCATATCAGCAAATCAGAGTGCAAAATGGAGTCAAGATGGCTTATAAGAAGATGATAGCAATTGTGCATTTTGCATTCATTTGTTCATAAACGTATTCTGTGAATGTCTGTTGACTATTAACTATATGCTGTGGACCATACTAGAAAGGTGAGAGATGATTGCCTAAGGAACTAGGGTAGTAACTGTGGAGATGAAAAGGAGGAGTTTAACCAAAGAAATGTTAAGGAGACAAAATTGGCAGATTGTTTTCACCAGTCTGACATGTGGTATGAGGAACGTGATTCTGACTTGATTGATTTGAGGAATGAAAGTACCATTCACTAATGTATGGAACAAAGAGTGAAGGGCAAATATTCTGGTGAATATAATGGGTTCAGATTTGAACATGCTGGGTTTTAGATGTTTTTGAGTCTTTCAGGTGGAGATTGTAAGTGGTGGGAACATAGCGGCGGACGAGACACAGTCTAATTCCAACAATGTTAGATCAGCAACCAGAACTATTTCTGGCACATAGAGAACACTCAATAAAATATTTTTGAACAAATGAATTCATTTATAAATCTGAAGTTTTATCTAAATATCTAACCAGATATTTAGCTTTGAAAGCTTCTGTCAGTTTTGTGGTAATTAAAGCAATGAGTAGAAACAATGAGATAGTCCAAAGAATGCAGAGAGTGAATGAGGGCATAGTGGAGGCCAGAGACTGGGGAACACCACCACCAAGCAGTGGATGAAGAAGTAAGAGCCCACAGAAGAACCTGAGAAAAGCTTGACAGTAAACAAAAGGCCAAGGGAAAATCCGGGAGACCTTATTTTCATGAAAGCCAAGGAAGATGCATATGGAAAGAAGGTTATGGCCAGCTGTTTCCAATGCTGCAGAAAGTTAGGTAAGATTTCATTAGATTGCTCATTGCTGCTGCAGCTTCAGTGGAGTGCTGAGGGTCGTAAATATGATTCAGGTGGACTGAAGAGTAGTTAAGACTTGGGAAAATG